TTTTGATGAACAGAAGCTTTTTAGTTTTATGAGGTCCCATTTATCTATGCTATCTCTTAGTTGCTGTGCTGCTGGGGTTTCATTGAGAAAGTTCTTACCTATACCTACTAACTCCAGAGTATTTCCTACTCTTTCTTGTATCAACTTAAGAGTTTGGGGTCTGATATTAAGATCCTTGATCCATTTTGAGTTAATCTTGGTATAGGGTGATATACATGGATCTAGTTTCAGTTTTTTGCAGACTGCTAACCAGTTTTCCCAGCAGTTTTTGTTGAAGAGGCTGCTATTTCTCCATCGTATATTTTTAGCTCCTTTGTCAAAGATAAGTTGCTCATAGTTGTGTGGCTTCATATCTGGATCCTCTATTCTGTTCAAAAGGATTTTTTTTAAAAGACTTCTCGTTGTGTCTTTTGTTCTATACTTAACAAAGCATGTAACTATGATTTTTGGTACCACTGAGTATAAGACTCATTCATGAGTCTGTCTTATAAACAAAGTAAGTTTTTCAACTGATATTAAGGGAAAAAGCAGATTAAGAGCTAGATTTAATAAATATGCAGGCAATCGCCTCACCAAACATACTTACACACACACCCATCTCATCTCTCTATTGAAAGATGCTTAATGTAAAAACATACCTCTATTTGTCTTGACTTCTAGATATTCTTCACTGGCTTACCAGTCTTGGGAGAATTATTTTTAAGTTTCTAAAAAACTGTTTTGTGACTTTATGGTAGTTATTTTGTAATAGTCTTTTAATTCTTTCTTGTCACCTACATCTAACTTATTGCTTTGTAGACTTTTGGATCAATAGAGGAATAGTATTGAGAAAGTGCCTTCAGGAGGAGGGACTCTAATCTGCTTTTTTGTTGTGTAACATAAGTAAATGCTTCTTGTGTAGCTCTTTTACTATGACTTTATTCTTAGGTTCAAACTCTGTCTTTGAAAGTATGACTTTGAGGCTGGGCTTAGCGACTCAGGTCTGTTATCCCAGCTACTCAGGCAGAGATCAGGAGGATTATGGTTTTCCACCAACTTAGACAAAAAGTTAGCAAGACCCCATCTCAACAGATAGCTGGGTGTGATGGTATATACCTATGATCCCAGCTATTCTGAAGGTAAAGTTTAGAGGACGGTCATGGTCCCAGGCTGGCCCAGGCAAAAAGAGAAACCCTAACCAAAAAAAAAAAAAAAAGAACAAAGATTTAAATAAAAATCAAATACCTGAAGCAAAAGATCTGAATGCATGGCTCAAGTGGCAGAGCACTTGCCTGACAAGCACACACACACACACACACACACACACACACACACACACAAGTATGACTTTGAATTGAAAATGGGTATGTAATGGTCATCTTTTTTCTTTCTTTCTTTCTTTTTTTCTACAAAACAAAAAAACCATATACTTTAATTAGTATATTATAGAGATTCAAGTATATATAGCCATCAAAAAACAGAAGAACATGACAATAAAAAAAATACTTAAAGCACCAGAAAATATACTTTGAGATTAAAAAATTGAGAAAAATCTGAAGTTTTGGAAGACTAAAAAATACAGAAGCAATGGTATATGATACATGAAAATATTTTTAAAAATGAGAGAAAGCATACAGACATAAGATCAATCCTGAAGAAAACAGATGCGGTTATAAGGCAGTTGCAGTATTGAAGTATAACATGAATCTTCACTTTGAAGTATTACCCTCTCTTCACAGTATTGAGAAACACAATAAGATCTGCATTAACAAACACTACAACATTTATAATCCAATAATAAATGGAAAGTTTTACAATATTCTAAATGCAAGGTAGATACAGTACCAAAACGTGTGGGTTGATAAAAAAATGACAACAGAAAATGAAACATATTAAATAAGTTAATAAATTATGTCAAAATCAATGGACCCAGTTTTGTGGTTTGTTTATTGGCACATAATACTCATAACCCCTTTCAATTATTTGGATCCTTAATGTCCTCCAAAATTTTACAGGGTAAAGGCTTGGTCTCTAGCATGGTGCTATTAGAAGGTGGTAGAAACTTTTAGGAAGGGCTAGTGGGATGTTTTAGTTCAGTGGAAGTATGACCTCAAAGAAGATTATGAGACCCTGGTCTCTTCCTCTTCCTCTTTCTCTTTCATTCCCAGACATGACATAAACAGGCTTCTTCCATTACATGATCCTAACATTATATGCTACCCTAACACAGGTCCAAAAGCAATGAGTCCAACCTGCATGGACTGCTATTCCAAAAACTGAGAAAATACACCTTTACTCTTTACAAGTTGACTATATCAGGTGTCAGTTAACAGAGGGCTCACTACTTTGAGAAACTATCAAAAATTCTATATCCACACACTCAATTCTCAATCTCCTTTCTATTCCTTGATTTGCATCACAACTTGCTTGTTCTTCAGATTATAAAGACACAGCTTTTGTATCTTAAGGAGATATGTGACTTGAACTTCATTATTACTTGATCATCATAATTCCTTTATCACCCTAAAATCCTCAAGTTTGGCATAAACAGCCACTCAAATCACTGCTTTTACAAGTTATCTGTAGCTCTTTAAATCATCTGTGTCATATTTTAAAGGGGAAGGAAGCCCTGATATCTTGTCCTTCTTTCTTTTTTTTAAAAATTTTTTTATTCATTTGTTCACATGTGCATACATTATTTGGACCAGGCATCTTTTCAAAGTGAGTTAAAGTAGGGTTTTTATATCAGAAGAGTTTACAATCCAATTTTAAACATAATTTCAATGAGACTTACTAAGTTATCATGGCTTAGACCATTTTCTGATATTTGTTTTTGGTGTTCTTATTTATTTGTTCATGAGCATTAAAAGGATTCCTTTTTTCTACCAAAATTTTTATTAAATGTGCATGAGAATAACAGATCATACATAGTAGGAGAATGATACAATACTTAGTCCTATTTTAAAATTTAAATTGCAAATATAAATGAGCTTAGGAGCATATTGAGTTTGATTCTGCTCTTTTAATCAGAAATATATTGGAAAGATATTTGGTAAATTAGCAGTAAGATGAGAGAATCAAATGTAGAAAATGAGCAGAAAGCAAGAGGTACAGTCAAGGTAACACAAGAACAATTTTGTTTGGCTTTTACTACATGTCACCAATACAGACTGAACTCCACAGCTATGAATAGTGGCCAATGCTCACTGGGGTTTGCTTTGCTACCTGGAGATTCAGAATATCAGTAGACTTAATAAAGCCTGGAACACATCCTTGCCCGTGATGCCAAGGAGGAAACAAGGTCTGGAGTTTTGCTTTCTGTAGCAATGGGCAGGGCCTTGCTTTTCAACAAAACAAGAAGTTCACTACAAATAGAGGGAGTTTGAATGCTTAGAAAGCAAGGAAAAGGGTACATGACTACTACCATCCACTTATTTGACTGTCTAACATCCATATACACCTTTCTTCCCATACTTACTTTTTTTAAAGAAGATTTCCAGCCTAACCTAATCAAGTATTCACCATACAAGAAAAGAATTAATCATCCTCATAAACATCATTTAACATCCCATAAAGGGTGTTAATCCTGAGTCTATGTAGTTACCATATCCAGCTTCAGCTCAAGATAATATTCATATTTCTTCTATTCTTACATGGTTCTTTATCAGTATTATGCAATCTGTAGACTCAATTGTATAGTTAATGTATATAAAATAATTCAGGTAACAGAAAAAGGGAACATTAGTTAAAATATTATGTAAGTATATATATATATATATATGTATATATATATATATATATATATACATATGACAGAGAAAGAAAGGAAATGTGGATAGGCACTACAGTCCTTGTATTTTTGCAGCTATCTCAAGGCCAGAGCTGGCATTTAAGACTGTGCTTCATGTTCTCGTTCTTTCAGTTAGCACACAAATCTTCAGGATACTTTATCCAATATTGGGACTCAGGTCTTCCCCCTTAGAAATCAGAGGCTGTGATAGTCCTATCTCTTAGCATTACAATGCTTTTCTATTAATTTTGTTTGATTTATTACAGGAAATTTCTAACATATACAAAAGTAGCCTATAGTATAGTGAACTGTATGCATTACCTAGCTTCGGCAACTATCAGTCATAAGCAGCCTTGTTTCATCTCTACCCCACATTCATCCACCCTCAGGATTATTTTAGAATAAACCCCAGAGTACATTATATCATCTGTAATTATTTGTTTGTATCTCTAACACATAAAGATTTTTGTAAGCATAATCACAGTACCACTGTCTCACGTGTACAGTTATTTCTGGTATTAAATGTCCAGTCAGCATTTAGATTTCCCTCATTGTCTCATAAGTATCTCTTAACAGACTGTTTGAGTTAAGAGTCAATAGGGTGACACATATACTGTGTTGATCATTAGCTCAGAGAATAAACTGCATCTTTGGGGACAGGACAACATGACATCATAATGAGTCTTCAACTGATAATGCTTTTATGGGTGATGGGTAACATAAGAGTAATGAATGCTTTTGGCATCACCAACTGCATTCTTTTTAGAGTAACTTTCTTGATATGAAGCTATATTGTGTGGAATGTGGTGGAGGTGTGTGAGATAGTCAATAGTTCTAATAATTGTAGTGCTAATAGAATGATGCTTGAGGAAAGCAAATCCAAAACCCAAAGAGGTCTTTTTTCCAGTAAGGGCAGAGCTCTGCTGCCTCCAAGATGGAAGATAACCAGTGTAGCTGGCCAATCCCTGCAGACTATGTACATATAATACAGCAGTGGAAGTCTCCCACATTATGGGCCTTAAGTAGGTCTTCACATCACACTATGGAAACCTGAATCCAGATGTGTGTACATTCTCTCTCACTTTTCTCCTAAACAGACAGAACATAAGCATATGATATGATGTAAGTGTAGCAGTTCATAGTATCCTGCATGAAACTGCTGTTTGTTCTTAATACAATGTCAGTTTTGAAACTCATCATTTATCTCCACATTTTGATTGATGTTTTGTAGAAACCATCCTGATGTTCACAAATACAGTGTGGAGACTGTTCAGTGGTATCCTCACGACACTGGCATGTTCACATCCAGCTCATTTGATAAAACTCTGAAAGTGTGGGATACAAATACATTACAAGTAAGTACATTAACATTTTCCAAATTGCTCTGTAAGGTGAAGGAGAGTTTAATCCTAAGTCATTTTAGTGTGATTATTTGCTAAGGTGTCCTACATGTTAGATGTGAAATCAGAATTAAAGAGAACTAGACTAGTTGAGTTTAACTCATCTCCTAGGTCTGCTGCCAACTTACTGTATGACATTGGGCAAATGCCCAAGCCTCTGTGTTTCAATTTTCTCATTAGTAAGTGGGGTCTGGATGGCATGTTATAGAATGATTGTGAAGGTTAAGTGAGCCCTTTCATATAAAATTCCTGGCATAGTGCCTCACACAGTAAATGCTCAAAACCTGTTAGCTATTATTATCTTTATTATTTGAAAACCACTGTGGTCTAGTGAACTAAGAAAGAAACTTGGTTTTATCCCCTGTTGATCTATAAACTTAAAGGAAAAGAAAACTATAAGTCAATAAAGATATATGGTGGGTAATTTCTATGATAATTGGTCATATTTAAATTTCTAGTGCTAATATTTTCCCTGAGATGTGTCTCCATCTGTCTTCAAAACTTCTATATGTAAATGTAGGACCATCCCTTCATCCTTAACCTGTTCCAAACTGAGCACGACATCTCTAAACATGTTGTTATAAAACCTTGGCAAGTCTCCCTTCAAACTTATACTCCTCTTGTCTCCTTCCCTTACCATAACTGCACATCTACAGCTCTAGAAACTCTTAACTGGTTTCCTTGCTTTACTTTCCTTCCCACCTATTCCACAGTAAGTTCTACCCCATACGCTGTCTCATCATATCTCTACCTAAATCCTTTTCTGATTCCCATTGTCTAAACTCATCCTAGCATTCTAAAATCTCTGTGACATTCCACCTTGTTCCCTCAATGGTAGCTTCTACCTCTTCAACACAAAAAATTTGCTGCAACTAAATTAGGTCCTTTGCCTGTGGAGCATATCTCAGTCATTTTATATTCCCTACCTCTAGACCCTTTCTCTATCCAACTTTTCCCTTCTCTTGAGGTCACATCTGTTTTTGCAATTACATTGAAACAAGAATTAAGATATTAGAGTTCTAGTCCTATACTGCTACTTATTAGATATATTACTTTAGGTAAAGTCATTTAGCAAAGGTCTCTTTATTTGTAAAATTAAGGTATCAGTCTAAATGTTGCTAAGGTCCCTCCAGTTCTATCATATAACGAGTGAGGTTTTGGAGTCCATTTTAATCACTTTTTTGGGATTTTTTTTTTTTTTTTTTTTTTTTGGCGGTGATGGAGTTTAAAGTCAGGGCTTTGTGCTTGGTAGGCAGGTGCTGTACCACTTGAGCTATGCCCCTAGTCCTTTTAGTTTGGAGTGTTTTTCAAATAGGGCCTTATTTTTATGCCTAGGCCAGCCTGGACCACAAACTGCCTATGTAAGTTTCCCACATAGCTGAGATGACAGATACGTGTCACCACACCCAGGTTTTATTGGTTGAGATGGGGGTCTTGTTAACTTTGGCCTAAGCTAGTTTTGAATCACAATCTTCCTGATGTCCACTTCCTGTATAAATCGGATTATAGACATGAGTTGCTGTGCCCAGCTCACCTTTTTATTTTAACTTTATAAAACTGTTTTCTATATTCTCATTTCAGCACATTTTGTATTATATCATTTTCATGCCTATTTATCTTAACTGTTTTTCTAGATCGTTACTTCCCCAAAGATAGGGCTGTGTTTTATATACCACTAAATCCAATGTTATGTAAAACTGCTGAATAAATACTTTAAGAATAACTAATGACCTAAGTAACCAACCACATGTTAATAAAATCGTGAAGTATAGGTATGGTTCTATTCTGAATACCAATACTATGTAAACAAGTGCAGATTGAGTATACTTCTAATAAACTGAACAGGTGCTTTCTTTTTGACCTTGTTAGATTAAAAATACTCCATTGTTGATCATTTATCTTATTTTTATAATAAGGTATTTATCTTAAATATAAATCATTAAAAATAAGAATATGTTTTAAGGATTAAATGAATGTCATGAACTTCCATTTCTGGCTACAATGGGTAATCTTGTAACCAAACCAACATATCCATTGGGAAAAACTAGAAAAGCTAGGTGAAACATAAACATCTGTTTAAAGGATTTGGAAAGCTACTAAGAAATCTAGAACGGGGAGACCAAACCCTAGAGAGCAGGAAAGCTCACAGAAGTCAATTCGCCTTTCCATACGTTTTCCTCCTTGCCATTTACCATTTCTTGATGTAGGGCAAGATACTGAGAGGCAGAATCCGAGAGTTCAGTGACCATAAATATAATTCTATCCAAAGTGATCCATTGAGTCAGTGCATTTCCAAGCAGAGTCTTAGGATCTTTCTGTGGGAATTGACTAGCTGTTTCTAATAACCATATGGAAAAGCAAAGGAAAAAGGCACTTTTTTTTGCGATTAATGGGATTTGAACTCAGAGCCTACATCTTGAGTCACTCCACCAGCCAGCCCTTTTTTGTGATGGGCTTTTTTCGAGATAGGGTCTCACAAACTATTTGCCTGGGCTGACTTCAAACCATGATTCTCTGCCTCCTGAACAGCTAGGATTACAGGCGTGAGCCATCAGCACCTGGCTGACAAGGCACTCTTAAAGAATGAAAGTAGAAGTTCACACACCAAGACTTACTGTTAACCCACACTAGTTAAGGCAATGTGATACTGGTGCAAATGAAAAATAAGTAAACAAAAAACAGGACAGAGGGCCAGGAGAGAGAAGCATACCCATATGTGTACAATCATTTGATCTGTGACAATAGCATCATTGTAGTGCATTAGGGAAAGGATGGCCTTTTTCATTAATGGTGTTTGATCAACTAGGTGTCCATTAAAAAAAAAAAAAACTAGTATTGAATACCAGACACAAAAGTCAATTTCAAATGGGTTGTAGGTCTAAAGTGAAAGATAAAGTTCATGGAACAAAGTGTCCTCATGGTTCAAGATGGGCAGACACAAGAAGTACTAACCAAAAAAAAAAAAGGTGGATTGAGGAATGTAAGTATATTAAAATTAAGCACTTCTATTCATCAAAAACATCATTAAAACAGTGAAAAGATTAAACCATGAAGTGAGATATGACACCCTTTATATCCCTATGTCTGAAAAAGTATATATACAGATTAATCAACAAAAATGGAAAGACTGATAACCTATAGGAAAACCATACCACACACTTATACAGGCACTTTAGTAAAGAGGATGTTCAGTGACATTCCTCAAGGAAAATTCCTCAACTTAACTGAGCACCTGGAAATGTCAATTCCCAGTGAGGTTTTTTGGTGTGCCCTCCAGAGTGGCTAAAATCAAAGACACATGGTAATAACAACTGCCTGTATTGCAGACTGGATTATAAACTGGGACAGATACTTGGTATTAACTGTGGTACTAACTATGTACATAGCTGTGATTTGGCGGTTACGCTTTTGACTACATGAATGCTATACATTGGTGCCCCAATAACCATGCATAAGATGCAGGAGGATCATGAGTTCAGTCTCACTACATCACGATACCCTGTCTCAAAGGAAAAAATTGTACAAGAGTGTTCATAACACACTGTTCATTTATAATTTTTTTTGGCAGTACTGGGGTTTGAACTCAGGGCCTAGTGCTTGCTAGGCAGGTGCTCCACCACTTGAGCCATACTCCCAGCCCACTTTTGCTTGTTATTTTTTTTACATAGGGTCTTATGCTTTTTGCCCAGGGCCAGCCTTGGACAGAGATCCTCTTGCCTGTGCCTCCCACATAGCTGGGATTACAAGTGTGAGCCACTGTATCCAGCCCTAGCAGTACTACTCACTATAACCAAAAAATGAAAACAACCCAGCTTTGGGGTGGGTTATTATTGGTTTTTGTTGTTTGTTTGTTTGTTTGTTTGTTTTAAGGGCTCTTTTTTTAACTCACTAGATAGCCTAGGCAGACCTCAAACTTATGATCTTCCTACTTCTGCTTCCTCCAGACTGCTAGAATTAGAGGCATGCACTACCAGCTCTGTTCATTAAGTTTAATGATGATTGTTAGAATTTTACATTTGAATACTATCAGAGCAAAGATAAGGAAAGGCCAGTGGTATTGCTGGATCATATGAGAACTTACACTTTTTAAATGTCTTTTTGATTATCAGACTGCAGATGTATTTACTTTTGAAGAAACAGTTTATAGCCATCATATGTCTCCAGTCTCCACCAAGCACTGTTTGGTAGCAGGTTCGTGTACGTGTTCTTTTGTTTTTTAATATATAGAATGCTTTCATGCCTTTTTTCAAATTTTTTTCTTTTTTTAAAAAATCTAGTTAGCTTTCATAAAGACATTTTAACACAGTTCTTTTATATTTTAATAAGGTATACGTTACCATTTATATTCAGTTCAACACATTATAATAGGCACTAGGATTTCAAAGATTAAGACAGCATCTTTCTTTCTTTCTTTTTTTTCTTTTTCAGTGGAACTGGGGTTTGAACTCAGGGATTTGCTTTTACAAAGCAAGTGCTCTAATGCTTGAGCCACACCTCCATTCCATTTTGTTCCAGTTATTTTGGAACAAACTATTTGCCCTGACTGACCTCAAACCTTGTCCTCCCAATCTCAGCTTCCCAAGCCTATGATTATAGGTGTGAGCCACTGGCACCCAGCCTCTTTTCATTTTTGTTTCTTTACTTCTGTTCTCTAAGGAGTTATTTTTAAACCACCAAAGTTTTAAAGATTTCACATTAACAAAATTTGGCAACTTTTCCAATTCAACACACTAAAACAAGGAAATTATTTTTTCTCTTAAAGACTGTATTTGAAATGAAACAGTCATCTGTATGAATCCTGCAACAAAAATTTTCATTTGTGAGGAAGAAAAAATGTTTTCAATTGTCAGAATCTACCACTAGCAATTGGAAGTATATCATTACTTCAAAAAAACAAGGCTGTTAAAATGATTTGATGTGATAAAATGGCATAGAACGATATACACATATATTTCTGATGTAAATTTCCTAGTTTTGATATTATACTTTAGTTACCTAACATGATGACGGGGTAACTCATGTGAAGGGTACATAGGCCTCTGTACTAGCTTTGCAGTTTTGTGTAAATCTATAATTATTTTAAAATAGTGCAATAATAGAGTTCTCTTACTAGTAAAGTATAAAGAGAGTCAGTCATTTTTCTTATTGTTAAAGATGACTTGAAATATATTTTGGAATCCATAATTTATATTTCTGCATAGGTACAGTGAAAATGCCACGATTCTTAGTGGTAGTGTATTGTTTCCTTTTGATGATGATTTAAAATAAATTATGTCAAACCATTTTTTGTTTTTTACAGTCGGCACTAAAGGACCCAAAGTACAACTTTGTGACTTAAAGTCTGGATCCTGCTCTCACATTTTACAGGGTATTTTTTACTTTGAAACAGCTACTACTTTGAGTAAACCATTCAATAAAAAAAAATTACTAACAGTGTATTTTTTGTAAGTGACTGCTGTATTTTGTGTTAGTTGTTAAAAGTCAACATCAAAATAAAGATCCTTCTGTGCATTATTCCTACAAACCGAACCATTGAGAGGGACATTTATATGAACAGTGGCCATTAGAGGAAGCTCAGGTCTAACTCAAAACCTCATGTTATTTCTACATTAGAAAAAAATACTAATAAAACTTACATCAGTACATTTGCCTCATAAGCCTTGTTAAATATTGCTTTAATGAGTAGACATTGTTCTTAATACATTTATGTATATGTTTCATTACAGATATTTTAGAAATGTTCAAATAATGCAGTGTTTGGTCAAATTATATTTATTTAAGTTATTTTTACTTTTTTATGAGTATTTGATTGTCTAATTCTAAACAGTGAAATGATGGACTATAATTTAGAAATACACATTTTTATTCATCTCATGAGAATACATAAAGATATACCAAGAAAACCTGGTGAGATGGATAGCATCTTTCTATTACCAATAAGCTAGGCAAATGAAAATGTCTGATTTGAATAGTTCTGAATCATTCAGTTTTACTTAAAACTGAATTAAACATTGAAATCACCTATCCTGTGAACTTATCACCTGTGCTTTCTAAAAAAAAAATTATACAAATGCTCTTTTTCATTTTTCTGTTATAACCAATTTCCAAGAAATTGGAAGCTTTTTTATTCCTTTAAAAATGTCTGTGTTTTATTGCAGTGGGTTTTTATCGTAGAGGACAAGTAATTATGGATTGAATGGCATACTCTAGCAACTGTATTTTTTTTTAAAGACTCACTTGCTCTGATCTTTTCAAAGCAAAAACCAATCCTTTAATATTAAAATACCTTGTGTTAAAAATGCCTCAACACACCTCACGTTAGCACTAAAACATAGACTATTACAAATTCAAAAACATGATTATTTCTATTCACTCATTATGCAAAATTATTGGCACTTTGTCTTTTGACTTATCAAATATTTTCTAGGACTTTTCATACAATTGTATTTTTCAGGTCACAGACAAGAAATATTGGCAGTTTCCTGGTCACCACGTCATGACTATATCTTGGCAACTGCAAGGTAAAGTGTTGTTTCCTCTGTTTTGGTGTAGCATCAGTAATAAGTATTTGAAAAGACTGCATTTATTTGGGAAACATGTTTTAGCCTATCTAATCATTAGCCCCTGAGACATGAAATGTTGAGTTAGATATTTTAATTCATATCACCAAAATAATCTTCCTTTGCATTGTAATCCTACCTATCCATCTTGAAGGTATTCACCTTCTAGAACAAAAAGAAAACATGAAAATTTATGCAGTAGATGCAAATCCTAGCACTAGTGTGACATATCTCACCTATGCCATATCATTTTTGCACATGAAAGTATCTAGCACTGTATTGAATGAAAGAAGTGACATTTCTGCTCCTGTTTTTAACCCAGAATTATTTTGACTCTGATACAAAACATCAGTCTATGCATTGGTTCAGTGTACTAATATTTAATGACTCCATATCATGCGCCAAGCTTCAGGAGCTGACAGCCTAATGAGGGAAAAATCAGTCCTTACAGGACATCCTGAAAAATGCTTTAATAGAGGTACATCTTTAGTAAGCATAATGTAGCAAAGAAAGCAGACGCACTTGACTCAGAGATTCAGAAGTGCAGGTGTGTGGGTTGTTTGTTGGAGGGAATGGTATTGCATACTTGTGTGCTGGGGAGAAAGTACTAGTGGAGAAATAGGTAAAGCTTTGACTGAGAAGCTTGAGCAATGCCAACCTAATGCCCTCGATCGTTGATGATGTGAGCGGAGAAGGACTTGATGTCATCTGTTGAAAATATGGGAGTAGGGAAGATGTGAAGACCTGAATAGGAGAGGGAGCTGATTAGGAGTGCTTAGGATTTGTGGGCAGTTGTGCTCAG